GCTTACTAAGTGATGAGAATGCCAGATTTCGAATTTTATATCATTTTTTTTTTTTCAAACTATCAATATATTATAATTAATTACTTTTTTATGATACAATAAGCAAAAGCGACATTTTTATATATACAATATTTTTATTGAGCCAAGACAGAATAGACAGAATAGATTCATAGTAATCATTATTTTTAATTACCCGCTATATAGCATTGGCTGCAGCAAGAAATCATTTGAAATTAATTTATAAAAAAAATTCTGTTTGTTGTTGTTTGTAAATTATTTACAGATATGAGTTCTATGTATATATGTACATTCGTATCGCTTAATGAAAAGGGGCCAACGAAAAAATTTCGCAGAGATAAAGTCGCTTTTTTCTTATAAGTAAACGTAAATAATAGTTGATAACGGCCTACAATGTGCTTAAAGGTGCCATGTAGCTAATACATTACAAAAAGCACAATAACAGAAAAGAAATCATGATTTTTTTACGAGTAACGACTTTGTATTAAAATTATTATGGTTAAAAAAAAAAAAAAGCTCTAAAACCTTAATGACTAAATTTATTGAAATGAAACTTAAAAGAAAAAAGCTTCTGTTTTCATTTCATTTAAAGAGACGCACGATATACGTAATGGGCTTGCAACGAATCCCAGATGACCGTCATTTCGAGTCTTTTATTATTATTTTTGTTTTTTTAATAGCCAACGAGTCAGAGGATGTCCCCTGTGTACAAGCGTGCACTGTGGGGATCAGAGGGGGCTTGAAGAGAGTGAGTACAATCTGTGAACGTTCGTTTGTCTCGGTAACATCAGATACGACGGGAAAGATCACTGCTGACAGATTGTTCCAAAGGCGGGCAGTGTGATTGCAAAAAAGTATGTGACACTGAGTGCAACTGCGCCCGTTGGAGTTATTTTCCAGGCAATAGCAAGCCTGTCATTGTGGTTTTTTAGCTTTATTGATTAAAATTTTAATTGATTTCCACGGTATCGATGTACGGTATAATGTATTTATGGAGATATCACATCTGTTTTCATACTCGATTCACCGAATCAATCTAAGAAAATGTGCACCTGGTCTCAGTCAGTAACGATTGTTAAATGGATGTATGGATATATGGACTTACGGTTGAGAATCTCAAGTCAATTAAGCACAGACACACACACACAGTACATGAAACAGTTGCTATCAGCGTTCAGTGATTCCATGAGGGGTGACAAAGCAGCTTAAATGTGTTGTAAGGGTATTTGTAATCGGTACACATACACACACACACACATCTATATTTCTGTATATAGAACATTTGTTTCGAATAAGGGACGACAAAATTGAAAAGGATCGTAGGCCTATTAGAAGTAGGAGTACGTGTAACCGGGTATGAATATTGAAATTGAAAAACTCGCCAGGTTACTAGATTTAAATGAAAATTTTAAAAAATATTGTGATAATTGTTCATGGAAAAGAGAAAAAAACAAGAACGAAATATTGATCTTCAAATACAGATTTCTCAAGATTTTGTGGTTAAGCTTTTATTATGAACGACCGCATTCAAAAGCCGCAGAAAATTACATTTTCGCTAAAAAAAACCAGGCGATACAATACACAGTTAATTGTTTACACCTTAAGTTAAAAAATTAAATTTATTTATACAAATAATATAAACGTTTACTTATTTATAGTGGGAGAAAAAACTCTGGAGAGTATCACTTGACTGCGCAATAATTTAAAATAGGCGGTAATTAAATAAACACTTCAATGTTATATTTTAAAAAAAGGCACACAAAAAAAGAAAAAAATTTTTTGCAAATTTGGAAATTTTACTCATTAATATATGAAAGGATGGGGAAAAGAAACCGTTGGTTGTACAAGAAAAGTGATTTACAGCAATCGCAATAATTGCACAGTCATGGTCGTAGATAGCATAACAGATAGCACTAGCAGAGATATCGGAGCTTGTGTGTGTATTGTAATCAGTAGAAATTTTTCAAAATATTTCAGCTAAATGGTGTTCTAAGCGCAATAAGAAGGGCTGATAATGCAAATGGTCAGAAAAGTTTCGAAAGCCCTTTAGAGAGTCACTATGCCAACCATAATAATTTTCTTTTCTACTCACCACTGTAAGATGGGTGTACACTCATTTTGTTTTTTTTTTTTTCTATAATATATGTAACACCTAAAAGGAAGAGCCTATAAAGTATAAAGTATTCTTGATCAGTGTGAAATTCTGAGTTGTTTTAGCCATGTCTGTCCGTCTGTGTGTCCGTATGCCTTTGTTGCCACTCTCTTGGCCGCAAAAAAGAAGACATTGGAGGTTTCTGCACGCCGGTTGGTATTGAAAATGGGCGAAATTGATCAGAACAAAAGCGCGCTGTGAAGCGTAAACTGAACGCAACTTAGTTTCTTTTAACTAAAATTTTTGGATTTTCCTCGTTACTCGGAAATTATTAAAGTGAGAAGGCTAAAACATTCCAAATTTGCTTTGCGACACATTTTAATCTCTAGGCCCAAAAATGGATGCAATCGACCATGCCCACACAAAGTCACAAGAAATTAAATATTTATTTTTTTAATTTTTTTGAGATTTTATGCTTATTTATCGTAAGATAACCAAGCCAGAATGTTCAAAACTGTTTTGTACACTCCTTAAGTGAAGATATATGCGGTAGATATCGCGATTAATTTTTTCTTAATAATACTAGCAGTATAGGTATTAAATAAAAGAACTTAGAGAGCAGAATGCGAAGAACATAGTGGTGGGTATGCGAAATTCGGCCTCTGCCGAATATAAATCTCTTACTTATTTTATTCTTCCGTAAAAAATGGAGATATTATGAGAAATTTGATAAGAAAAGAACCTCGAGGTAAAGTCAACGGATCCATGTCTATCTTGAATCAATGTCTGCTAATTAATGGCGATCCAACTTTACACAAAAAGAAACTGTCGTAGTTTTATTATGGAGCAAACACAAACCCAAATATCTTAATTTTCATGGCCTCAGCTGTGGAAAAGAAAACAAAAACTAAAAGAGTTATACCCGTCTTAAAAGGTCATATCTTTTTGCGATTTTTTATCGAGTTATTTCTGCTTATCGACTTAAATGACCCGCTAAATATTTCAGAATGATGTGCGGAAATGATTGGAAGCTGAAGAGGCCGTATTATAGGCGATTACTACTTTAAAGATTTTTTCTCGAAATCATGAGTTTGCACATGATTGTATCGCTCGTTTTAATTTGCTTAATTTTCATCTCAACGCCTGTAAATTTTTACATCAGTTTCTAAACGAAGCCCTCTAGTGAGCGTAAATTTTTTTTTATCTTATTAAAGGAATTACAATTTGCTATGCCTAAGTTTAAAGTTTATGTGAGAGAAAGTGGACAGTGCGGAACCGTTACCATTCCTTACCGCAAAATATAAGAGATCTAGTAGGGTGCACTCATCGTTAAAATCTATTATCACCTTCGAGAATAGGTTTGATGGTTAGTTGCTTGTGTGAATATTTTTTACTATAAAACAAATTTGATGACCGCGTCGTCTTTTCTTTTTTTTTGTTTTCGTAATCTTTCTGTTTACACGTTATCACCAATCAACATACATTTCATCAAATTATATTGAGAGGAAAAGGAAGAAGAAAAATGTTTATAGCTTGTGTAGTTAACTCACAATTGTACAACAAGAGATAATTTTGTTATCATTTTATATATGTAAAAATAAAAATCCGAAAAGAAAATAAAAGCAAAATAATAAAAAGTTAAACAATTTTTTTTATTAGAAATGCATGTGCATGTGCATATTCATGTGTGTGCCCAAGGTCGGTGAGAAAGAAAAAACCAAACTATACAACTGTATTCGGTTTAGAGGCGAAGACGCAAATATACAGATATATGCATATGTAACGAAATGTTTTGATTTTTCTTCTTTAGTGTTATATTATATCTACAGACACACTGGGGCCTTATCTAAACTAATAAATGGCTCTTTAACTTTATACATAAAGATCCCATTTCAGTTTACTTATGCTCACATCTATTATCAGTTGATTAATTGCTATAGTTTGTAAGTTTGAGATTTTTTTTCATTCTTCAAAGATTATATTAATATTTCGTTTAGTTACCACATGAACACATTACTCAGAAAATTAACCCAATTTCTATTTCTGATATGATAACATCGGCCACGAGTCCGTAGGACAAATTGCAACTTTCTTAACTCAACTAGCTACGGTTTAAGGAAACATAAGCTTAAAAAACTGACCGAAAGACGGACGAGCTAGTAATTTCATGCAGGTCCGTTGCATAGTTTTGGACGTCATAGAAAATAATTTCGTTATGAGTAAAATGAGTAAAAGCACTATAGCGGGCCGTTGCCCACCATAACATACTTTGCGCCGCCATGTAGGTATTCGAGTAAGCATTTTTCAAAATTCGAGTAACATTAGAAAAGGAAGTGCTCGAAAAAGTGGTCCCATACGAACCAAAATACCTGCTTGGTGAAAGCACGTGACTGTTTGAAATTTAAAGCAAAATGTCCCAAAAATTTGCGACCTGCAGGACAATACAAGGGGAACAAAGGGGCAGAAGAGATTAGATCGATTCTGAAAGTGATTCTGATTGAATCGGTATGCCAAACGGTGGATCTATCTCAAGCCCTGCTGGCTGTTTCACGCATCTGCACATAGTTAATGCACTCTTGTATCAGAGGTGATGTCAGGTGTAAAAATAGCAATAATGACAAATTTTTAAGCATTTCAAAATTTGCCCTCTTTTTGGAAACGACTTCTTCGTTTCGTACGCAAACCCGAATTGAGCACATCGCCTAAGAGTAGTACAGTCAAATTTCTACTTCTATCGGAACCTTCTTCTTCTTTCTTCTTTCAAAGTTGCTAGGAGCAAACAGACGGACGGACGGGCGGACAGACATAAATTTACAACTTTCTACGAAATTCGCAAGCGTATAAGATGTTGTGAGTAGTAGTGAAAAATAAAACATTTTGTTCTACTTACTTGTTAATTCGGTGGCATCCTCAGCGAATGTTAAATATCCTTTATTCATATCTTGATTCAATGATTTCTGTAATGACTGTTGGGTTGGCTGTTGCTGTTGTCCTGAAATGGCAGCGATGATTTTATCCGTTTGTAAAGATTTCAATTGCGACAACGGTGTAAAAACTGAAGCTGTCACGGACTGAGCTCGTGGCACCCCATTCGGCGATTGCAATTGCAAAACCGATGACGTCGATGTGGTTGTCGGTATGTTATTGATAATCGGTGCGGCACGTATTATTGACGATGTTACAGTTTTGGGACGTTTCTCTTCGACGTATTGTGTTTTTACGGCCGCTAAAGGATAACAATTATTTTGCAGCAATAAAGCGGCGGCGGCAGCGGCAGCAGCAGCAGCAGCAGCAGCAGCAGGAGCAGTAGTAGAAGCAGTAGCAGTGGAAGTGGTAGTGGCGGTTAGTTTAGCAGTGACGGGCGACGTTGCTTTATTTTCAAATATACTCTGAGTTACCGTCGTAGTGGGTATATGAGAATTTATTTGTATTTTTATTTGTTGTTCGGGATTTATGATTTTATTGTTAACAGAATTGGAAGAAATAGTCGCCGATATTGTATCATTTTTATTTACTGTTGATGGCTGTATCTCAACACTAGGTATCTCTGAAACTTTGAACGGTTTCTTGGTTTCAATTTCCTGTGTTATTTTTATATTCACGCCTTCCGCTACGACGTCACACTTGTTTCGATCAATTTCAATTATCGTTTGATTGTTTGTTATTAGTTTCAAATTATTTTCATTGTTATTATTATTATTTTCATTATTTCTCAACTTTTCAACTTGAAGTTTATTAAATTCTTTGTGTTGTTGCAAAGTAAAAATTTCTTGTTTTTCCTCCAAATTACTAAAAACAAAAAAATTTATTTTTCTAGACACTTTTTTTATATCAAGATTTGCTTTCTTTTCTTATTTAATTAATTTATTTATTTATTTTTTTTTTTTTTTCTGAGATATTAAGAGCGCTTGGACTAGTAAGCACTAACTTATCCATCCAGCTTGTTTATGGTAAGAAATTAAGCAAAAAAAAAAAATAAAATTTTTTTTCCATCTTCGCTTTATTTAATCGAATTGTTTACTGCCCACGCTTGCATCATAGTTAAGCACGTGATTTTTTTTTTTTTTGTTCCATTTTAATTCTTCGTTTTTCATTTACTTTTAAATTCTTACTGATGTAAGTTTATTGCAAATGCAATCAACAAAAGCACAAAAAAAAAACAGACGAGATATTGCAAAAGCAAGAAAGAGAGAAGGAGAGAGCGAGAGCAGCTGATAAGGTAACTGTAAATATTTCAATGCATTCACAAAATGCACTTAAGAGAGCATATGTTGTGCAAAAATTTAGGTGCATTTAAACTCTTCTTTTTTGTTGTTGCTTTGCTTTTAATTATTTGGGGAAAGAGACTTGAAAAAATAAGAGAATAATTTTTCTTCAAGCTTTTTTTTCTTCTTATCTCACCTTGTGATTTATTTTTTAGTAAAAAGCAAACAACCGGCAAATTCATCTAAAGCAATTGCATACATCCATCATGTATGGCTTTTTCATTTACGTATTTCGTTTTATTTTTTATCCTTTTTTTTTTTTCATTGTGTTTCACACTAAAGTGAACTGCTTGTTTTTTTTTTTTTTTTTTGGGGGGGGGGGGGGAGTAAATGCAGTTTATTTATTTTATTTTGTTTTGGTTTTTTTTTCATTATTTATACGTAAAATAGTGTACGATATAATGGCTTGATACGTAGGGTGTGTTGTATGCGCTTGGTTGCATTTTTTCGTGCTTACTAAGATTATTGTTATTATTATCATTTTTTTTTTTTTGAATCTTTCTCCCCTTCATTTCAAGTTCATTAGCAAATAATAAAAGTAAACAGTTGTTTTTTTTTGTTAAATGTTTAATTATAAAAAAAAAAATTTATATATATTTGTATTACAACTACAAATATCTACTATAGAAGTATTAATGAGTTGTTCTCGTTTTTATTAAATATTATTATATAACAAGGTTTTACTTTGCTGAGAAAATTATATCAAAAATGATTTTGAAAAGGCCATGTCTTTTTTTTTTAAATAACACACATATTCTGCATATATATTATGTTATATATCAATATATATGCATGTATAGATTATATTTTTTATAATCATATATACATTTGTATATATATATGTGTATACATATAAAATTTATAAATATGTATATATATGTCTACATTATAGAAAATTAAATATATATATGTATATATATATACACGCCTGAGTGGGCAAAAACAAAGAATCTCGACCAGCAACTCAATGGTCATGGGTTCGAACCTCAAGTGCGGTAGAATTTCCAATCAAGCTAATAGCCGTAGATGCTACCTTTAATCTTAGGGTTTATTTCTCTGGCTGAAATAAAAATAATAATAATAAATTTATATATATATAATTTGTATACATATGTATACAAAATGGACTAAAACCACTATAGCGGACCCTGGCCTACCCCTTAAATACGCTCCATCTTCCTACAATTATTCATATAACGACTTTTCAAAGTAAGGCGTTTTTTGGGAAGAGGTCGGAAAAGTTCCTTCTTGGGCCAAAAATGTCAAATGTGTGTAGGAAAATGAGTAGGCGATTGTATTTTTTTTTTTTTTGGATTACATTTCTTGAGCAATAAAACTTTTTTTCCGAAAATTTGTATAAAATTAAAACATTAAATGATAAAAGAGTCTAAATTGTTTTTCAGTTTGTATTGAAAATTTTGAGCAACAAAACAGTTTTTCAAGAAAAATTTGTATAAAATAAAGAATATTAAATTCTGTTTAAGTCCGAAAAAGATACATTGCTAAAAATCGGGAATAACTTCTATACGCATGACAAATTGGCTTGGCAGATCTTTTTTGAGATATGCAAAAGTTGCGCAAATTTCGGGAATCCAGAGTAGGTTCTTGGCGTCCCATGACGATTCACGAGTCACTAAAGGGCTCGTTATTGGTGTGTACCAAAAGGAAAGAGGCAAGGATCCCAAACTGACACCAAGTGGAGAGAAATTTGATGACCGTGTACAAGACAAGATGACTGAGCTTGTTAAAGAATGCAATACCACCGGTGCTCTTGGTAAAGAAAAAGTAATCAACAACATCGACCAAGAGTATAAGTCGATAGCCGCAATTGAATTAGGCCATGAAGCTGCCGGATTCAATAATCTAGAAATGATTGTCGAATGCGTGGAAAACATAAGTTGTTGCGTCAGGGGTGTGAGCTCGCAGTTTGCAAATGTAAGATTGTTACTGGCTGGCGAAGTAAGTTTACACATTAGACGCTCACATACACTACACTTCCACTTACATCACATAAAATTATAAAAATTCTTTAGGGCAAATTTCTCTTTTGAACCCCCCAATTTCGGCGAGCTAGTCAGATCCTGTTTAGAGCCCTTTAAGTATGGTAGATGTGTATCAAATTTAATCAAAAGATATCAAAACTTGCGGCCTGTACATTGAATGGAAGACAACAAAGCGGACATGCAGCCAGACAAGGTATACTGGAAAGTGGATCTATCTGATGCCCTTTTGGACGTTGCATTCAACCGCACAAATTTGATATACCCTTGTATAGCAGGTGGTGTGGAGCACGAAACTGTAACCGGATTAACGGATTTTGAAAAGAGCTGGCGCTGAGAAGTCCGCATAGAAAAAAAACATATATTATATATATAAACATATATTATATATATATTATTTTATATATATATATTATTTTATATATATATATTATTTTATATATATATATTATTTTATATATATATATATATATAACATTTGAAATCATTAAATGAAATATTGCGTTGAATGTACGTCTCCCTCAGGCTGCTGTCGCATCTCTTAAGCAAGTCCTCCATATATTTTCCGTAGATTATTTTATGCAAAGGCTCTCCAGCTCTTTAGAGAATCTTCTGTTATGAACTCAAGCGACCTAAGACATCGTCCTTGAATTGTAAAATATGTCAAAATACCGAAAGGAAGAGAAATTAGAAACAATTCTATCAGATGAGCACTGCGTCAACTTCTTCGCACAAAGTTATGTTCATTGGGTAAAAACATACGACCAAACGTTCCGCCCCAAGATGAGTTGATCTCTGGTGTGAAATCCTTAAGAGTTTTTTCTGTGTGTTTCGAGCAATGGTTTATGGTTTTGTTTAAATGTTTATGTTCTCATAACCCAACCTTCTTCCCCTTTCCCAAGCACAACCAAGCCAAATCAATCATCTCTGGGACTTCGTTAAAAGCTTTACAGTATTTGTGCTACTTATGCTTCAAGTCCTTCAATTCTTTTTAGTCTGTAGCAGATCTAAATTTGAAATTTACCGTTTAAATGAAACGACCAGAGAGGGTTACGTTTGGATTTTATACTATTTTGTGTGTTTTCTTTTATTATTTGTTACATTTCATTTCATAAGGACTTCGCGTTTTAAAAAAGCCACCGAGAAGCTCAACAACAAGACTGTAAAGGAAAAAAATACAGTACTCGCGTTAATACAATCAGTTGGAGATCGCAGAAGTGATGACTGATTGTCTACGAAAAAAAAAAAAAATTAATTTTGTATCAACTACTTAATAACGTGAGACATAATTAAAAACTGACAATAAATTACGCAACGACAGCAAATTGCATAATCGTTTTCCTTCGCTGTAATATTTGGCCAAAAAAAAAAAAGTAAATAAATAAAAACTGCAGGTAGAACGCTTTAAATTCATTGAAATTGAAATACCGCAGCCGTAATGAATTGTTAGCATATGATCACGTTTTAATTGTTAATAAGTAGAAAAGAAAAAAACAAAAAAAACAAAAAAACAAATAGGTAACTAGTAACAAGTAAGCAAACTATACTCCCGGCCGATCATGCAACGAATCTTAAACACTCACTATGGCGCGAAAGCTATGCATTATAGAAACTAATCGTAAACACGGCACAGGCCCACTTATCTCGATGATGAAATCCCGATTACCATCTAAAAAGCTTTTCTTAAAGCACCGGAAGGGAGGGAGGAAGGGAGGGTGGGAGGGGGGGGGGGAGGACCCGAAGGTAGCTAAATCTGATACGTGGCCCTTAGCTAAGAATAAAATCCGGCTTTCAACAAAACATTTTCATATGATTAAGCATTACAAAACGTGACGGATGGACGGATGAACGGTTGGACGAGGACAAGACAAACTAAATCAACCAAAATGATTAAAAACGCACCAATTGCAGTGAGATAGTATGAGTGAGTTGAAAAACGTAACATACCTCCATAATAGCGTTAATAATATTAAATACATGGACTTTTATTGCAAGAAAGAACAACAACAAAATGCAGAGCATATAATAATAAAAAATATTTAACGACAATTGAACGATAATTTAAAAATTGTTTTTCGTTTCAATTTCATCGTCCACACATGCAGTCAACTGAACTTTACCTTATAGATATAGTTACGCAAAATTATTTAACTTAATGTGAAAATATATATCAAAAAAAAAAAAAAAAAAAACGAAAAGAAGAAAAAGATAAATGACATATCTACTAATTGTTATTATCGATGTTTTTGATAAGATAAATAATATAATATATTGACTTATTTATCAACGGGAAAAGTGATAAATGAATTTTCAAATGAGCACAAGAGACATACATATATTTTTCTTTTGTTTTTATTTCTTCTAAGCTCAGGTCGACTCTTTTTTTTTCTACTCGACTATTCGCTTGTTTTTCTTGTTTTTTCTTTAACAAGTTTCAAAGTTAAACGAAATATTTTTTGCCGTTAATCTGTTAGTGCTTGC